CCTTTCACTGGTTTCGCGTTGCATTACATTGATCTGTGCGACCATCCGTGTGGCTTCGGAAACTATCGAAATATTTGTTAACATCGGAAACGCCTATCGGTTTATTGGTTGTACGATTTTTAAATGGATAACATTAACACTTGTGACATGATGTACTGCGATATTAACTCTATATACCTAGTTTACTTTTTACTACGTCCTACTCTAAGATTAGCAGAGTTCTTTATAAGTAAGATCGATTCAATTATCATTTTTGAGTTTGGTTCATTTAATTCCGGAAAATAATTACATAAATAACATTATTTATGAAAAAAGTTTGTGCTTGTAAATATTCCACTTAAGTAGTATCAATTAGTATCTTACTAAAGAATTTACTGTAAATTGAAAATATTTCAATAGCGGTGCGGTCTCGTAGCTGCGGAAGGGAACTACGAACTCTCCCCCGCCCTCGCGTCGCCCTGCCGACGTCTCGTCGCGTCTGTCTGCACTCTGCATTTTTTTTCTTTTCCAATAAAAGTCAGCTGCTTGTTTATCTCAATCTTTTTATAAATATTATAAGTGGCAATCATTGAAAATTGTAAATCATAAAAATAAAGTTAATTATTATTTTATTTTTTCTATTAATAATCAGTACTGGTAAAATAATCTGCGTTAGCAATAAATCTTTAACAGTGGTAGAGCCCGCTTTAACATCTTCGCGCGAATCGGCCCGGCTCGCCCGGTGAAGTACCACGACCACAAAGAAGACAGGCGTGAAGTGGAAGCAATTCCGCGTTTCGTCTGATGAGTGTGCGGCCGGGAGTGGACTTTCCGGATGAAAGGATGCATGGAAAGGGAAGATATTTTCTTTCTGTGCATCCTCTCCTCCGTCGATTGAAGGTAGGCAACGCATATGCAATTGCGTATTTCTGTGGGCAACGGTCACTTCGCTATTTCAGCGATTTTAGGTGGACGCTCGCTCCTTTGCCACCTTATGATATAAAAAAAATCTAGTAAAGCGCCTAGTTTTTTTTAATGGCAATTTTTCTCGACAGCAACGTTGTTCTAAGATAATTTAAAAAACAAGTAAGTAAATGAAATATAAAAGAATGTTAAAAGTTTTGTTACATTTATCAAGCTTGCTATAATTGAAAGCCAAGTTAGTCGCAATTAATTCTTGATTTTCAATTTCAGCGACGGGTAAAGAATAACGCTCGTTACAGTTCGACAAATAATAGAGCACGTTGAACGTTTACTTTTCCTTTTTAACAGATTTTCCTGTAATAAATTTACCAACTTGATTTGAACGAAGAATACCTTAATCTAATATAGCATTGGATTGCAAATATCAAAACGAAAGTTATGAAACAGAAAAATAATAAAACATTTTTTTTAATATTTACTACATCATTTTACGTGTTATGCGCAAGTGAAGCAACCCCCACTCTGTCAGCGTGGTTAACTATGGCCGAATCCCCCCTAACTAAGGCTAGGCTCCGAGCCCTTTAGTGGGCACGTATTGTTTAGCTGATGATAATGCGCAAGTGAATCGTATATATGAGTTCTATTTCTCTATTATTGTTTTAGAATACTTACTGCCACAAACAGAGTCCTAAACTGGCCACTGAGAGAGACACTTAGTACATATTTTATACTAAATCTACGTTAGACAGAACATGTACTTTTATCTTCTCATACTAAATGTACTAGATTATTTATCCACTCTAAGTAATTAATCTATTTTCAAATATTTATTTCCAGATGTATGAGGATTTTTTTTAAATAAATAAAAGTTTTTAGATGGATACAAGACAATTAGTAAATCAAACAGAACAGACACGTACCCAACAGTTTCCTAGCGGGCGATAGATCACGTTCACAATTAGCCGGGCGCACGGGTTCGGCCGATCACTTCAATATTTTTCTACCTGACCCTTGGAATATTGAATAGTTATATTTTTATACAGGTATAATTGGCAATTAGGGCCGCTGTACACGGACTTCTTAAAGCTGCAATTACTGACTACTTGATCAGTACCTGGAGAGATAACAGTGATCTAAAAATGTACTCATTATTTTGATAGTACTAACTTCCCTAACCAAAATATGTAGTGGCACCCAGTTCAATTATTAAAAACAAAACAAATCTATCAATTCTTAGTTTTTTCACACCGCTTGCTCACCTTTTACAAATAATATTCTAAAATAATTGGTATACCATTAAAAGATTAAAGATTGTTATTTCTAAACAAAAAAGCACAATAAAATAAACAAACAATTTTACTTGACGTGTAACAAGTAAAGGCAGGTAATTAAATTCCGTTTCCAACGCAATTAATTCGTGTTGCATAATTCCAGCAGACAGGTATGGATAGGATAAAGGATTGCGCTCCATTTAAATCCATCTGACAGTTTCTAATAACCGCTTCATACTATGAGATTCTCGATATTTAGTATTTGAATCCATCTTATATTCTAAATTAAAAAGTCTTACAACCGATACGAATGTATGCCGGAGATGTATACGTAGACCCGTCTGTTTGAGTAGCTTGTAGCAATATGTAAAAGTAATTTCATCAAGTATTTCTATGCAAATATAGGAAGCGGTATCGAACAAATCAATGTAATGCAGCAAACAGGAGTGGGATGAATTGTCTAGACGCGGCAGGCTGCACGCTACACCGACCGTGCTCGGAACATTGTTAAATTGCCGGGGTTAATATCAATCGCAGACAATACGTAATCAGGGCTAGAATGCATGGAATTATAGTGTATTATAGTGTCTTATATTTATTTTATTCTACACTGAATCGATGTCGCCTATGTGAATACTGTTTGAAATTAAGGTAACATAATTATGATTTTAATACTTATGAAATAATAAAAATATTTGTAAATTGTATAATTTTGTACTATTCAGTGTAAAATTTGTCTTCAACAAACGATTAAAAAATAAAGCTAAGTGGTGGAAAATTAAAACGCCGCTGTGAATTTAATTTGAACGTAATCAAGGCGAAGAGCAGAGAGGAGAGGTGGCTGTTGCAACTAGCGGCTAACGAGATTACAGGTGAGGGAGTCACGGGCATCTTGTCTGCAAACTATTTGTAATACTAACTTGAGAAAAGATGTTACGTCTTACTTATATTAAAATGCGAAAGTTTAGATGGTTGCATGGATAGATGGACGGATGGATGTTTGTGAGAAGGTATCTTTGGAACGGCTCAACGGATCTTGATGATATTTGGCACAGAAGTCAGAACATAATCTGGAAGAACATACAGGTATAAATATTTTAAATTTAATTCCGTGGGGACAGTGACGCGGGCAACACGTAGTTATACATACATAAAAACATTTGTAGCCAACAGTAATTCAGTACGAAAATTAATTACCCTTAGAGATACTCGTCTAAAATAATATTTTTTTATATCAAATAAGACCTACATGTACGATTTGATATCAATTTAATTCTGAAATAAATAACAAGTTTCTTAGCTAAATAATAATACTGTTGTATAATGAAAATATAATAATAAAATAATAATAAGATTGATTATGCCACTAGAATTGAAAAATTAAAGCAAATCCAGATTGCTTTCTCATATACACGCACGGCCCCTTCCCAAGGCTAATTAATTAATTTAAACGAAAGTTATAAGCTAGCACTAGGAGAATCAATGACCCGTGGGGACTGGCTTAATTGGATATCGTTTGTAATTGAATAATTAACACGTGATTTTTATAACAAGTAAATAAAGTATTACCCGCTATCCAATTAGTAACCCGAAATCGCAGTATTCCGATTTCATTGTATTAGAGTTTCATAATACATTTTCCGATTGAAGGTCAAAAAGCTATTAATGTCTATAAAAGATGAGTTAAAACAACAGATGTCGTAATAAAAGTTTTACTATAAACCATCATCATCTCCCTTTCTTTGTCCCACTCACGTGGCGTTCGGCGTCCAAGGTTTTCCGTTTAATTGTTTAATATTTTTAACGCAATATAAGTAGATATTCAATGTAAAACAATAAAAAAACTTTTTATGCATAGGTCGTGTACATGTGTCGGTTAGAAGCGCCATCTATTGATTAAATTACTAAAATAAAAAATACTTTATTTTTCACTCACTAGATGTCGCTTTAAATGAATATTTTAGTGGTTCAACAATAGATGGAATTAATTGTTTAGATTTATTTTTATTAAGTTTGTAAACTATTAAACGAAAAATATTGGATTTACCTTATATTTCAACAATTAAAGTTAAAAATATCCAAATGTGGCATTGGAAGAAATTATTAAAAATTCTGACAATATTTGTACTTGTTTTATATTTGATCTCTGTTATTCATTAAAGTTTTTAAGTGAAAATCAAAAATTATTAAAAACTATATAAATTTCAGCATAATAAATGTGTAAATAAGCCTATGTATTACCTAAATAGTAAATATTGCGACATAGGTATATGACGAGGTGGCCGAGTGGTTAAGGCGTTGGACTGCTAATCCAATGTGCTCTGCACGCGTGGGTTCGAATCCCATCCTCGTCGATATTTTTGTTCGCTCAAACAACAGCTATTTACGGCAAAATGATTTGTGATAATTTGGTATTGGTATTTTTTTATAGCCAAGTAACGTTTTATATAAAGCATAATGAACGTTTTATGCTTATTTATACGACCGGATTTTTTTGTATTAAAATGGTTTCTATTTGCATCATTAAAGTTACAAAAAGCATATACAAATAAAGTCTGAACAACCAGAAATATCGAAATTATATTAAGGAATTATTCATTATGCAGAGGATTCCTAGCGATTTTTTTATTCGTCATCGTAATATCACTAAGCTCCCGATTCTAATTAAGCTTTCCAGAAACCATACGCGTTCAATGATTTCACCACAATCAACACTATCGCTATAATCGCGAGTAAAAAACAGATATAATACGAGATAACAGAGCGCGGCTATCGCCGGTACGAATTTATCTAGACCTGCTTTTATTATCTTATCATGAAAACTGTTGCCCTTTATTTTACAAGTCTTCGCTAGGTACACGTTGGGCTCGACCGAATTTACTGTGCTTTGCTCAATAACTATTCTATTGTATTTAATAATTAACTTTTAATGTGGACATGCCCTTGTTGTGCATAGAACAGTGAAGTGTCAAGTGACGAAAGTGAAAGCGAATTCAAACTGATAACATCGTCGAAAAACAAGGTTATCTAATTTCTTACAATATTTTTCTTCTTTACGTTAAAAATAAAGTTTATAAACTTAACATCCTTTGTATGAGCTAAGGCTCTGTTCACAAAACTAATCAAATTTAAATCGTGTTAATTAAGTGTAAAAGTACCTAAGTATTTCTTTGTTTTCTACTACAATACTGTCACTTTCTCAGCCACGTTTTGAGATGAGAGCGCATAGTTTTAAGCTTGAATAACTAAGATTTACTAATATTAAGCTAATCTTCGTAAGAGTGAATTTCTACAAAGGTTTGTGTACTTATATATTTAAAGTGTTTGCTTAACTCAAGCAAACTTAAGCCTCTGCGAATAATAGACATGGTAAACATTTCTTAACTATTTAATAAATTTGTAATTTTTAATATGACATCATGTTAATTCTTGAGGCATTCTACTTTCAATAGTATAACTCATACTGAAAATCTAAAGCATACCAAAGAATCCTTGATACGAATGACATACTTTTAGTTCGAAGTTTACTATCAGTTCTATTGGATTAGACAACTGTTATCTAGGCAAATAGTGTGAGTATTTCTACAAACGAAATTAAATGTAAACAAGAAATCTAACACAGACACTAGTAAGTGTGAGCGTTGTCCATATAAAACTGTTTAATCGATTACTGTGTGAAAAAGGCAATTTATAAATTGTGCACACAAGTTATTTGTTTTCATATATTATTTCACTTTATTTTTAAGAAATTTTGATAAGTTTTGACATTTTATACCGATAACTAAAGATAAATGATTCGTCATCTACATATTTATGCGCAAACTAGCTGTCTCTGTCTGCCCGCGACTCCTTCAGTGAATAAGTAAAAACCAAAAACTTAATAAGAAGCCTATGTTTTCTTCCAGGCAATGTTCTTCATCTATGCTAAAATTCTGGGAGATCCATTGTGTTGTACTGGATAAACTTTTTGACATCCATCCATCCATCCAAACATTCGTATTTATAATGTTATTAAGATTGGGACTTTCGTGTTTATTCAATATCCAGGCAAACACGGGTTACATTTAACCGATCCTGTTGTATAGTTCTAATTATTTATTTCAACATTTGTAATTTATATGTTAAGCAATTAAAAAGAAACTAAATAAAAAATTCGTAACCTTCATGCGAGTATTTCCTCGGGCACTCCTTGTTCTTAATGATAACAACATATTGTTGTAATAAATTCCATTAAAACAGTCATTGATTTATAATACCGTATCACTTTTGCTTGCAGGATTACGTGTAATGCAAGATAATTATTGTAAAACATTTCTGCACATTTTTAACTAACAAATTATTTGCTACTTTTATCAAAACTAATAATGTCCACTTTTAAAAGGCCTGCTTTTTTGTTTGCTCAGTGATTTGGTATTTGTTAAGCTTTAAGTACTTCATACTTAAAGATTCTTGTTAAGCAAATAAAGGTAACCAAACACATATAGATGACGTCATGTCCACATCTATAGTGGAATTTGATATAAGAAAAGATTAGACGATAATTTTGATGCACCAGCAAACCTTGTCAGAACGTTCAATCATAACAAAGAATTACAACAACTATGTGCACCTTTATTCACATGTTTATTATCTCTTCCAGATTTTACAATGTACTGGTTTGCGGTGGTTCTAATCGCAATACCATGCGCCCAAGCACAGTTGACAGCTCAGTCGAGCCTGGCACCAGATCTGAGGGAATGCTACACAGTACCCCAACTAGTAGACAGAAACAATCTACCGCCAGCCACAATGCCCGTACTCATCGATATCATCCGCAAGATAGAGGACAACCCTAACGTCAATGTCGATTTAAGACAACTAGCTGTTCTCCTACTTCATACGTAAGTAAAGACAGCGTGTACAGGGTGTCCGTAAACGACATATACAATGGAAGACGATAAACTCTTTGAACAATATTTTCTGATGTCTTCCCTACTTTTCAGGTACAGACAAGATGGTATCGAATTCCATCAGCCCGAAGTGAACTTAGGCGCGGCATCAACAATTCTTCCTTTCGCACCCACCTTCCATTCATTTTACAGACATAGGTTACTACTGACTAGAATTATTCCCGGGAACTTGCAAACGCTTAGCAACACTACAGTTAACTCCGAATTAAAGGTAATATTTGTCCATGTTATATTTTAAAATTGTAGTTAATTATTAACCATTATTTATTTATTTATTATTCCTTATAACCTTTAGGCTAATTCTTAATATCATTGAGTAATTTTAATTACTAATATTGATTTTTTTAGTGCGCTCTACACCACATGCTCTCTACAACCGTTGACGCTCGCCTGCGAGGCAATGAGAACAGCTGCAATCAGTTGTCGCAGTACCGCGCTCTGCGGACTGCAAGGGACGTCACCCTCGTCGAAGATGACGTAGAAATTATTGATTTAGCAACATTGTAAGCATTTCAACACATTTTTGTTCTCGCTCTTTTTAGACTCATCTGTCTATGCCACGATGATGTATTGGTGCGGATGTTTGTAGTCAATTTAACCAAATATAATTTTTAGAAAAGCGGCAAACAAAAATGGTCACATGAGACATCACAATCCAAAAGATGATGTTGAGTACGCAGGCATTGGTGATGCGAAGTCCGAACGTCAAGTGTTGGGACAGAGTACCTGTCCGATACTCGGTGGAGTGGTGAATACTCGCTGGGGAGCAGTTTCCGCAGGACATCTCATAGCGGGCATAGCGGCTGGAGCCGAACTGCAACAAGTGCCAGTTCTTGAACTGGCTAAAAGCAGTTTCCTCAATTATAACAATGTGCAACAGAGTGTCACCTCTATCTATCCAGCTACGCTATCAGGTATGAAACTAACGTAACCGGCTTTTTCTCCTATCTGGGAGGTATTTAATAATTTATATAAAATTATATTTCAGGTGATTTAGCGGAAGCGGTGCTAATCCAAGGAACAGAAAGAGGCAATCCATCAATATCTATCGGTACTGCAGGAAATTGGAACAGTTCGCAAGCGACTAGGTTCTACATGCTACATAGCCGTATCAATGTCGAGATGACAGACCCAGAGATACGGGGAGATATTGACGGATTCGTCCTCGGAACGATTCTATCCTCAGTACTAAGCGCTTCAAATACACTTAAGTTGTCGCAGTTATTGGATATGTATTATACTCCAAGGGTAAGTAGAACATCTTTGTGTTTGCCCCTAGTTAATATAGAATAACTGAAAACTACTGTAAATTTCCAAAATCCAATTGATCCCCTTTTTTTTCCTAGCCTTCTTTTTTAGCATCGGTTTAGTTGAATATTTGACTTTTTATTCCAGAATGGAGTGTACAACTCCAACCTCCGTGCGTGCAACCGTCAGGCACTAAGTCAGCAGTACATTACGGCGACCAACTTGGCATCGGAGACCTACACGTTTGCCGCGGCGCTTGACACCAACATCCCACTTAGAGGCACAATCACTGGCGGCATGGAAGATCTCGTTAACAGCGCCATCACTAACTTCCAGACATACGCTTGTAAGTTTAAAATTGTTTTCTCCTTAATTCACTATCGTCTTTTTTTTCTATATCACAGTTGGTTGATTTAGTTTAATTAATACTTTGCAATTTTCCGTCAAAACAAATTTCAGTAAACCAATATCTGTATACAATACGTCAATATTTACAATTAGTAAATGTTTATTTCAGCAAACAACTTAAACGACCTGAATTGCGTCACGACGGAAGCGACCTCAGTAGATTATCGCTTCAAGACCAATTTGTACGTAGTACTAGACGCCATGTGGCAATTCCAAGCTGTCTACCCCGCGATATCCTACCTCATAGACAACATCGAAGTCAGCAAATACGGCTCCAGTATAACTCTACTGAGCGCTTTCGACGGCAGCGTCATCGTCAACAAAACCTTCTCAATATCTGATTTTCATACCAACTACACTTTATTAAGGCATCAAAGTTGTAAGTACTTGCTATTCTACAATCCTACTGATTTTCTGCCACTACTTACCAATAGCAATAAAATTAAGGACATACTTATTCATTTCACAGTACCCACAGGAGTGAATATGGAAACATCTTTGACAAATATACGCATAATGATGCACAGTGAATTAGAAAATGAGAGAACAGCAAACTACGTAGGAGGAAACTCGTCAGTTCTACTGTTCCTACTGAGCAGTGGAAATATACAAATCACACAAAATGCATTGGATCAAGCAAGAATTCTTAATGAAACGGTTCCTGGTAAGAATTATTTATTATTTAATAACAAATTACGCAAAGAAAAAAATATACTTTAAGCAAAATTCATTAGAAACAATTTGACATTACAGATCTAAGGATTCTTTTTGCAACTGCAACGAATCAATTTGATAATTTGTGGAGTATGGTACGGGATGTGCATAATGATATCAAAACTGTGTCTTTGAATACTGAAGGAACTAATGTTGAAATCACCATGAACCCAGTACTCGACAGGATTGCTCAAGGTAAAGATTACGACACGCTCTATTTTATTGTAACTAAAAATAGCTGATAGCATCTTCTATATTTAGACAAGTCAATTAATATCAATAAAATAATTTTAGTTGGCAGAAGGATTATAAATCCCACTTGCGGCTCAACATATCCCTCAGACTCGACTTCAGGTACTAGACAATTCGAAGATTTCGTTGAACCCGGATACATCAACTATTATGCTATAAGCCCTAATTATTTCTATCAGAATAATGGCAACAGAAGAGTCCGCATTTCACGCAGCGGCGTTGGAACGGGAAGCTTGATTGTTTGCTTTTCTCGGTCCACAGCACAACCCAGGTAATTTTGTTTTTTTTTTATCATAATTCTTAAGGATAAATTTATTGTATTATACTCAATAATCCCTTTCCAGACAAAATGCTACCTTATCCGGTCTAGATGAAGGTGCAGTCACCTGTCAAACTTTAGCTACAACAGGAAATGTAGAAATAGGTCTTCAGAACCCCTGCGAAGGATATTGGACAATTAATTCTTGCCCATTCTATTATATTTCCATTCAATCATCAGTCGCGGCTTCAACGTCGCTGAGCGCCGTCTGTACGGGTAAGAAAATTTTATACAATCCAGTCGTAATAAAACTCTGTAAGCATGTTCTGGTACTTTCAAAATCAAAATGCTCACAGCAAAAAAATGTATGTTGGAAAAAAAATGATGGATGTTTAAGTTATGTGATCATAAAATCTTCTTTTTCAGAAAACGCCTGCAGATTTCCTTACAGCATGAGATACCAGGTCCAAATTGAGGAGTTCGGCTGCTTCAGCAGTGCAGGCTCCCTGGGAGTTAGTGTTGGGTTATTGCTTTCAGCAATATTGTACAGCTTATTTAGTACCCACTAGTTTATTAATGTATTTACTAAGAATAGTTGTTACACCATGTAACACGAATAAATCTTAGTCTTCGTTTAGTGTGACAATACGCATTTACTTTTCATTTTTTATATATAATTTTAGTTATGTGATAAATTCTATACCACCTAAAATTATTTCTGACATGTAAATTAGAAGGATAAGAACATTATACAGTATGAATCAAACTATTGGCGTCAATGTTATTTCAAACTTTGTATACACATTCATCAAATAATACAATGTGATACAAGAACAAAATTACGCTTCCTCTGCGTTTACCTTGAACTTACAATTGCACTATGCAACCAAAGCCAACTGGTTAATTTTCCACTGGATTCAAGAATTTTAAAACGATATAAAATAAGAAAAATATAATATATTTGCATTCGTAAGTTAAATATATTTAGGAACAGGGTGAGCAACTTTTGTTAATTAAAAATAAGTAATTTAAATTGTAGGTATATTTAGTGTTTTTGTTGTGATCGAAGAATAAAAAGCCTATGAAATATTTTAGTTTTATTTCATAAAATCTCTTATTTCTGCATATTTACAGTTTTCTTCCGATTTGTTACGAAAGTATTGTTTTGAGACTTTAGCCAAATGCCTACAAAAGAGTTATAATATGCCGCCAATTACCTCTCCGCCATAATCTGTGGCATGAGGTTTAGTTTGACAGACAGTGCACAGACAAAACAAAACAGTTGTGATTTTATTTATAACAACTGTTATTTCAAATAATTAATAATTAGTTCTTTATTCGATAAAATTCAATACTTCACAACTTTTAACCCTTATAAATGTAGCAAATACAATAAAGAGAAAAACTTTGCTTACTACAGAAGTCAACATGATCAAGTGTGACTATTGAACCACACAAACTGCAGATATGCAAAAGAAAAATAATCAAAAGACAAGTTTAATTTTTTAACTTTGAATTTTTTATTAATTATTTTGGTAACAAAGAAGTTACAATTACAATTAAAACAATAGTTTATAATTGAGTATCATTCTTCGTAAACGGTTTAACAATGAATTGACAAGTTGTTTGACAGCTGACAGTTTGACTTTGACATCAACACTACAACAAACAAATAACTTTGAGGTTTTTAAATTTTCGCTTTTTTCGTAAAATGTCGGGAGAAGACTGCGACGCATTAGACCGTGGGGATGGTGAAGGACAAAAATCAGATAAAATGTTTACTCTCAAAAAGTGGAATGCTGTTGCTATGTGGAGCTGGGATGTAGAATGCGACACCTGTGCTATTTGCCGCGTTCAAGTGATGGGTAAGTAAAAAGAAAAACTATGTTTTAATTATCTTACTGTTACGATATCAGCTTAATTCATAAACTTTTATGTCATCATATTTTAAAATATTTAAAAATTTAAAAATACCCCCTTCTGGTAAGCCTATCACAAATTTTGTGTACTAATAGGTTTCTGGCTGATTATTTTAACAACATCTTAGTAATGTTCTTATAGGTCCCCATTAGTAGAGCAAAGCATAACAAAAAAACATCTTGGAATGGACTAGGACTAGGAGTATATAGGATTTATATGTTGCTGTAAATTATTAGGCCTTACATGAGATATGGTTATAAACAAATTTAAATCACCTCAACCTACATGTAGTTGTTCTGGTGGTGAATTAGTTTCATTTTATTAGAGGGCATGTCTTCAGTGAGTGTGATAAAAGAAACATAGATATAAATTTAAAACCATTCTAGTTTTAAAAAGGAGGCAATTTGTTGTTAATTTTTTAAGTAGTTGAAGATGTACTGTGTTCCATTTCTAATCAAATCTTTATTTTGCATAAATGATAGAATAGTTAAGTAAACTACACAGATGGTACATTAAGTAATATAATATATGTTAAAGTTTTTATTGATAACATATATATTTTAATATATTCTTATAGTAAATACAATAAACAATGTTCTTTGATAGATTTAAGTGCTAAGTACAAGAAAATTCTTGACAGTAAACTATTTATAAATATTTGTAAGTAATCAAATTAATTGAATTTTTTGTCTCTTATTTAATAAATTACTTATTATTTCTAAATTTAAATATGATATAATAACATAAATGCATAGTTTTTATAGACTTCCATTTTATACAAGATTATAATTTCTTTGTACCACTTCATCTCCATATTTGACACTGAACCTAAAATTATTGGGTCTATTCCTAAAGAAACATGTCTTTGGAATATTTTTGGATCAATTTAGATGCTTAAAAATCCTTTGCAATAATGATAATTATACAATTTAAATTTTTAAATTATTCTTTAAATTTGCATGCCTTAGACTTCTGTGATCAAATTGGCACTAATGATTATAAAAATTACAATTATATATCACTAGATATCAAACTTGTATGATTATATGTTTAGAAATTATCACTCTTAAAATTCTACATACAAAATTCATTTCTAAAATACCAGTATGATGTAACATCATAAAAGGTAAAAAATGTTGCTTTCTCACTCTTTTGCTTGCTTGCTTTTGTCTTATTTCATTTCTACATCATGTATTGCTTACTAGTACAATGCCGTCTATAACTATTTACTCTGTCTAATTATATAATAAATGTGTCAACCCCCATCATGCATACCATCTCTATTGAGTAAGTATGCAGTCCACATAATTTAAGTAATTACTAATTAAGTATATAAAAAACTCCATATAGTGAGCCTTGACATACAAACATACAATATTATCCTACATTAACAACCACAGGGTAAAGGTTTGATATTAGCGATAGAACTCATTCTTCTTGTTCTAGTAGTTTTTCTGCCAGTCATTTTATTTTCTATTTGTTCAAGACTTTTACCCCGAGTTTCTGGTACACAAACGACTACGAAAAATAAACCAATAAAACATATTGAACCGAATAACCAGAAGGTTCCAGATGGTCCGATACCCACGATAATATTGTGGAAAGTTTTTGTTACTGTAAATGTACAAAGCCAATTAAATGCAGTGCATATAGATGCTGCGGCACCTCTGATCTTCGCCGGCAATATTTCACCCATCATAAGCCATGGGATTGGTCCAAAGGCCAATGAAAATCCTAACAGATAAATCATGACACTTGTAAGTGGAATCCATCCTAATGTTGAAACATCCATATTTAGAGTATCACGTACGTAGAAAAATGTACCCAATACTATCAGTGTGACAGTCATGGTGACCGAAGATATGTATAGCAGCATTTTGCGACCCGCACGATCGATCAGTGCTGTAGCAATAAACGTCGATATAAAGTTTACCAATCCTACTATAATCGTTGATAAGTTCTCGTCAATAGAACTTCCAGACATTTTAAATATTTTAACCGTATAAAATATTACAGCGTTTATACCGGATAGTTGTTGAAAAGCCATTAAGCCTAAACAGATGAATATTGATTTCATATATTTTAAGCTGAATAGTTCAGCCACTGAAGATTCTTTGCCTATTTCTGCGTCAGATAAAGCGATGTCCCGAATTTCGTTATCGATTTTAGTGTTTGGTCCCCGAAGCCATTGCAAAGCTTTACGAGCTTCTTCAGTCCGTCCCCGCGAGATGTACCATCGAGGTGTTTCCGGGATCATGAACATTAGTATTAGAAATGGAATCGGTAATGATGATCCTAAGTAAGCAAGTTGTGACCAGTCAAGATATTTTCCGGCGACGTAACAAATCAGGATGCCAATATTTCCTATGGCCGTTGGGAATAGACCGAGTGTACCGCGAACCTCTGGTTGTATAGTTTCTCCGAGGTATACAGGGAAAGCTAAAGAGCCGATACCGACACAAAGGCCACATATTGCTCGACCAGCTAGAACTAAATGTACAATCTTCGCTGTGGCTATTAGGATCCATCCTATAAAGAAAGGAACAGCGGTAAACAGAATAGTTCTGCGACGTCCGATGTAGTCTACGAGAGGGCCTCCTATTACTCCTCCCACAAGCGCTGCTAAAGGCATCAACCCGCCGACCCAGCTTGCCTGAAAACATTTCATTTCATTATGATATAATCTCAGAGAATTATACAATTGCAAAAAAATTGAAATTGGAAGAGGCAAGATTTGTATCTTGCAAGATTATTATTTAAAAAACATAAACAGCATTTTACGCTCGATAACGACGATGACGATGATTCTGAGGTCATGGTCAATTAATTAAGCGTGACAGAAGAAGTTAATTGTAACTGATTTATATCTTCTACGAAATTATAACGTATTTCCATAGACTTTATGTGATTGTACCGCGTGCCTGTAGCCATTGTTAATTATTGGTGTTGCAATATCAAATAATAAAAATTAAATGTAGCCATTAATTTAATTATCACCTGTTCTTCTGATACTGATATAGAAGTGCTGTTTTCCATAGTAACCAGAGCTGGCGATGTGTAAGCCGAGGAAAACCCTACAATCATTGATCCCATAGAAACGGCCACTGCGGCTAGAACCTGTAATTTAAAAAAAATAATAATACTTCTCCATTTGGCTTGATTATTCTTGCCGGTAGTCTGTTTATCGTTATATTGCCGGTGTCCGATCACTATCAATATTTCCTATCGTAAAGCAAGCAAAGTTATTCTTGGCGTAGAAAACAATGTATTCTGGAAGTCCTTGTTTTGAAAACTTCAAACGTGGTTTACCAAACTTGACAGGATGCTTAAAACTTTGTGCAGCGTTATGCATACATGTGGTTAAATTGTTTCTATTTAAAATATTTTTCATAAATTGATCTTCAATAAGCGTATGGACATTAACTGGACTCATTTGTATCAATGTTATCTAACTGTATGACGTTAAAGATGGAGGTGTGCGCGCTCCGCCTACGACCAATTTAAGCAATCATCGTCTCTGATTGTTTCCACTCACACATTCGTAGACTAGATAGTATCGTAACGAACTCAGATATTCACTGTGTCGATGGTATAAGACATTCGCTGAGCTTTTTTAAAGTTTTTGCTATATTATAGGGTCCTAGCAGTTAATTTTAATTTTCGTCGAATTAATTACAAAGATTGTTAATTACGGGTACTAATCTCATCTATAGACAAACGAAAAAAGTAAATTCAATTTAAAATTTAAAGATTTCAACTACGTTATGTGGTACAGCTACAGGTGGTTTTCACTGGCTAAGCACGTGTTACAAATGACGTCAAAAATATTTTAATATATTTTGATAAAAAGGTTATGCGTGAAAATTAAATGCGTGCAATGTATGTATTTATATGTAATGTTACATTCTTATTTTGAAAATAGACGAGTTTACTTTTTACACTGATACAATCTTGAGCACTTTATTAATTGTGACCGACCGTACTCGTCCTTTAATAAAGCACCAACTGGCATAAATTACTGTTTCAAATTCGCATTAACCATTTCAATTGTTTTATGTATAAGTGGGCAAAATTCATAATTGTTCTGAGAAATCTTCCCGTTTTGTCAAATGATCAAAGCCGGGTCAAATGCTTTCACGAAACAATTACATTTTTTTTCTCATTTTCCTTATATTTCCTAGAACTGTAAATTCCTATTCGATTTGATTTAGTTTAGTTTTAATTTACATTGATTAGTGAAAACAAAACATAATTAAACATTAACTTTTTTTCTATTTTTATTGTTCATTGTTCATCAAAAAACCTTTTTTTAAGTTAATTCATACAGACCTGGGAACAAGTATATTTAGGTTTTTCATATTCACTATCCCTAACCACAATACTGTAATGAGTGTCAGCTCTCATTAAAATCTTCATTTTTTATTATTCGTATTCACTTTTCATAGGAAAGTTGTTCACTAAACGATGTCTGTAAACGCACTGCACTCGGCCGGCACAGACGGCTGAAGAAATAGCGTCTCCATGCTGTCGCCGCGATTTATACGAACTCAAATTGATTGGCTTTCGAGGCTATGCGATTCAAAACAATGTGTGAGATGTGAATTGACGTCTGAAAGCTACGATTTTGTTATTGTCTATATTACGATTTAAATTCAAATTCATCTCTTTTAATTGTGTACGCAATCTAGCAAGTTACTACGTGAAACAAATATTGATTCCGATTACTGATATTGCACGGTTCGTAAAACTTATGCTATGTTGGATAAGTATAATGGGCGTAAAGTTATGAAACGCTCTATTTTTTGCACTTTTAATGTTAACATTTTCTAGGCGTGGCGGACTGTAAATATCAAATTACTTTAAATAAAACATTTGATACGTATTATAATTTACAGTTTAAACAGTTTATTTTTAGTCAGAATTACCTTATTGGTATGATGTGATTAATAATAATAGTAGTAGTGATAATACTTGAAAGCTTTTTTAATTAAAAAATCTAGCACAAACATTTTACTTTAATTATTTTCGCTTAAAGCTGCTAATAATAGGATTGGCTTGTCTCGTGACTCGGGATCATAATTTTAATGAATAGACAAAAAAATTGCACGAGTAAAGCTTTAAAGCTAACTTTATACGTGTGTTTTCGTAAATTATATGTTTATTCCGTTCATTCTGTTTTAAAAATTGGAAATAACAATGTTGTTTCAGAGAAGTTTCGGTGGAATAGTTATAAATAAGAAAATAACAAATTAGCCTAATTCTTCATAACTAAAAAGCTTACGATTCATGTAAAATACTCCGCTGCGTTTCTTTTGATAATCTTTTGAACATAATCTCATTTAACTTTTATTGTCATTTTTCACTCGCGAATTAGACAATGAAAAGCGTAAGATTTTTTCTTTTCAGTACTGTAAAAATACGATATAAGAATTTATTCTTCATATTGTGTAATGCATATATGAAGTTTATGGAGGATATAACAGTAGAGACCAGTCGTAAGTTTCTTTCCACACGTGCTTCATGTAACTGCGCGCTTGACGAACATTCAGTAAACAGGATTTATTAACGTAATCAAGAATGTTATGAAGCTAGATGTCACATATGCAACGTATGTAGAGAACACGTTGTGTTGGAAATCACCGGCTAATGTGCAGCTGACACCTGTAAAATTGATTAATGTGCGTGCCCATGCGCAGGAAATATACAACTTTTATGTCACGCAAATCTTCATTGCATTATTTTTATTAAAACTATATATTTTTATTCATTTTTAGTCAAAGTCTTATTATGTTAAACATCTCCAATCGTATTGAGATGTTTAAACATCGAAAAGGATAAGTAACGAAGTATAATTTCATCCATCCAATTTTAAAAAAAAAAATCAATTTTAAATAAAAAGTTAAATCAATCATCTTCAGGTCATATATTCACATTCAAGGGCTCGGAGCCTATCTAAATTATGGGTCACTAGACCATAAAACACCCAGACAAAGTGCGGGTTGGTTGACTGCGTACACATCTTGAAAAAATCTTAAAAATCAAGTTATTGAAGATATCATCTGCGATAGGTCCTGTTCACTACCGTAGACATCACTTCTTATCGTTCAAATACAAGTAATAAAACATGCAAGTAACGCTCACCCCTCTTGTGCTGCCATTAACCAGTTAATGGCTATTAAAATTCCACACATTATTAACTACGCTTTGTAAACTAACTCAAACCTAGATAGTGCTAGTTATATGATCATTTGTTATATGTATTCTTAAATGGTACGGTTTACACAGTCGAAACATCCTCATGAAATAACCTAATGGATAAAATAGCGACATCTGTTGACTGTATTTCAAAAAACATTTTATTTTTTAATTTCAATAATATATACTGTAATGATTTATTTAAAATTTTCTTATTTTAGAATATACTCGAAAATATCCTAAAATGATTTAACAAAGTAAAAAAAGTTATGGCCAGTAAGATGCGAACTTGTTTTTCACTAACTTAGAATTTTATATCTTACGCCTTCTGTTTTGTGCCCATTTATCTAATGTCTATCACACTCGGGTGAAGAAGACAAATCGAATGATACCTCACTCGTCATAATCAGTTCAGTCATTTAGGCTCTAGGCCATAACAAAGGAATATACATACAAACCCCCATAAAACTTTACCCTCTTATAAGTCGGGTAATAACAAAAATAATATATTGTCTGAATGACAAATGAATGTTCTGAATAAAGTTTAGGTTTAACTCGCTTCTATATTAAAGAAACCTTTTATAGTAACAAAGTTTTAATAAGTAGGAATGTTGAAATAAAAATCATATATTAGTTTCATTCTTTTTTATTGAAAATAGTAACAAATATAAATAAATAATGTTCCCGTAATATACGAAAACATTTCGTAATATTCTATCCTTATGTTAATTATGCGACAGCGCCTTTACTTTTTAATTAAATCAACCATTCACATACATTTAGTAGTTACTAGTTTGTAAAGTACAATAATTTTAACCTTAGTTATGTCATGTTCTTTTATGGTATGTGATAATTTATAGTCTAAGAATAAGTATATAATATGGTTTAGAAACATCTAAAACGTTAAAAATTTCAAAGTTTAGTACAACATTTGAAACATACTGGGCTAACATTGGAACCACAAACGAGATTCTTTTCTTTAGTAAACATGATTAATTTACCCTATTCATATTAGTGAAGTTATTTTACCATAAAAATTAATTCTAAAGGAACTATAATTTACTTAAATATAAGTGCGTCACTAAACTACTGTATACTGTACCAAATAAATGATTACAATCCAAGTCAGTCTTCTGCGTACACATTACGTGTAGCATCACTCCCCTCTTTTGTACCTAAATCACAATCGAAATAATGGGCTACAAAGCTTTCGAGCTCAACCCTTTTCATAAACCACACTCGACTTACAACATTCCTATTCTGTTTCTTAACAGCCGTTTTGCATATGTTTGTTGCCGTTAATGTTTCGAATTCTAACCGAACCTCCCGTCAGTTTTTTCTCAATCTCTTCTAAACTCTTGCCACGGGTTTCCGGTACGAAGAAAATCACGAAGAACAGTCCAATGAGACAGATAACAGAGAACAACCAAACAGTGCCATGCATGTATATAGCTTCGATTATATTTGGGAATGTCTTGGTCACGATGAAAGCACAGGTCCAGTTGAAGCCTGTCGCCAATGACGCAGCGTTTCCACGGATTTTCGAGGGCAAAATTTCTCCAAGCATCAACCAAGGAATGGGTCCGAATCCGATAGAGAATCCGAGTACATATATTATGAGGCAGGCGAGTGGCAGCCATCCGTATGGTTTGACATCAACTCCGACGTTTTGAAGATAGTAATAAGACCCCAATGCCACCAAGGTCAAAATCATTGACACTGAAGATATGTACAACAGTATTTTCCTTCCAAGTCTGTCGATAAGTACTGTCGCTATGAAAGTAGATATAAAGTTAACGACGCCGATTATAACCGATGATAATTGCGGATCGATGTTACTACCCGCTGATTCGAAGATGGTTGAAGCGTAAAATATGACTGCGTTGATGCCGCTCAGTTGTTGGAAGAACATTAGCCCCAAAGAGATGAGCACTGCTGGTATATATTTCACAGCGAAGAGTTGTTTGAATTGGTTCCCGCGTACGAGATCTGCTTCAGCTTGTGATCGTGTCAGTTCTCGCATTTCTTTCTCAACATTAACATTTTTGCCTCTCAGCCACTGCAGCGCTTTGCGTGCGTCTTCTACGCGATTTTTAGTAAAATACCAACGTGGCGTTTCTGGCGTAATAAGCATCAATAGGAAAAAGGGAATAGCCAGGGCACCTCCCAAAAATGCCAAATGTCTCCAGTCTAGCTTGATACCAGCAAAGAATGCTAACAGTATACCGGTGTTACCCAAAGCGGTCGGTAGTAATCCCAGCGATCCTCGAACTTCCGGCTGAATCGTTTCTCCGAGATAGACAGGGAACGCGAGACTGCCGACGCCGACGCTCAGGCCACAGAAAGCCCGTCCAGCCAACACCATAGCGATTCCATTTGCATTCGCTATTAACATCCATCCGAGGAAGAATGGTATCGCAGTGCCAATTATAGTGAGCTTTCTTCCGAAGCCTTCTATTAGTGGACCTCCGAGAATACCACCAGCCAATGCCGCCAAAGGCATTATACCACCGATCCAACCGATCTGTAAATAAAAGATATAAGCTTATTATATTTTCTTATATTTTTATTAATATTTTTATATATAGAAATACTATTAATTTATATTCACAAATGAACAAGTACTATATTAATATTACAATTGTGCATTTATTATGGCAGAAATCTAGTTTTATGGATGTATTACATTAGAAATATATAAGCAATTTACCTCTTCTTTTCCAATTATTAACGTCGCGTTCATGCTGGATTGTGCTGGTGATGTGTAGCCCGAGGAGAACCCGACTATCATGGAGCCCATTGATACGGCCAGAGCGGCAAACACCTGTAACAATTAACGTTTAAATATATTAAAAAGCTGTTACGCGATTACAAACATTGTTACAAACAAGGTTAACCTGCTCAGGTGACATATTAATGATAACTTTAACGAAAATAGTCTACGTGTGATTATAAAAAATATTAAATATTAAATTACATTTTGAAAAGACATAGTTACTGAAAGCGTTCGTGAATAGGTCTGAAGTTCATGGGGTGAGTAAGTCTTATATGTACCACGCGCCTGTTGATCTATCCATAAATATGGATTTTTTCCCTTAACCCCTTAGTACACATACTAGAACTTGAACAAACATAATGCTTTGCTATTTTGAGCTATATTTGTTTGTTTTACCTAGTCATGTTTTAAACGCAAATATTACATGAATAATACATGTTCTATTTATTTTCTTAATTACATAAGACATTTGTTACCTGTGTATAAATATAGAAATTATCAATCCCAGAAATAACATATATTT